TTATGTTGCATCCAGCACTTGCTATGCCCAGTATTTTTAATTTTAGAAAGTTTAATAGGTGTGTAATTTTATCTCACTGTAGTATCCCTAATGATTAATCATGTCAAAATCTTTTCATATGCTTATTTTCCATCTGTGTATCTTTGAATCTTTTATCTATATTTTTCTGGAGTTTTGAGAGTTCTTTATATATTCTGGAAATTAGTCCTTTATCCAATATGTAAGTTGCTAAGTATTTTCTCCTGTTGTGGGACTCATCTTTTCATTCTCTCAGGTGTGTTTTTTGCAGGGCAGAAATTCTTAATTTTGATGGTGTCTAGTTTATTTTTTCTTTTATGGATTATGCTTTTGGTGTTGTATCTATGAAATATTGCTGAACTGAAGGTCATAAAATTTTTCACCTGTTTTCTTTTAGAAGTTTAATGTTTTACATTTAGATCTTTGAACCAATTTGAATTCATTTCTGTATATCGTTTGGATGGAAGTTCTTTTTTTTTTTTTTTTGCACCTGGATATTCAATTGTTCCAGCATCATTTGGTGAAAAGACTATCGTTTCTCCACTTAAATGCCTTTGAACCTGAAAGTCAGTTGTCCACATCTCTCTACTTCTGAACTTTCTCTTCTGTTCCTTTGATGTTTTTGTCTATCTTTACACTACTATCACAATGTCTTGAAAGTGTAGCTTCATAACGCTTGAAATCAGTTTCTGTTAGTTCTTCAAATTTGTTCTTTTTCAACGTTGTTTTAGTTATTCTAAATTTTATTTCCATATGAATTTTAGAATTAGCTTGTCAATTTCTATAGAAAAGCCTACTGGGATTTTGATCTATAAATCAATTTGGTGAGAATTGATGTCTTAACAATATTGAATCTTCTGATCCATGAATACCTTGTATCTCTCCATTTATTTAGGTCTTCCTTAATTTCCCCCAGCAATATTTTACAGTTTTCAGTGTGCAAGTCTTTTACATCTTTTGTCAGATTTATTCTAAGTATTTTATATGTTTGATTCTATTATAACTAGTATTTTAAAACTTTGATCTCTGATTGTTTGTTGAGATTAATTAATCTTTTTGTATGTTGATATTGTATCCTGCAAACTTGATAAACTCATTTATTAGTTCCAGTAGAATTTTTGTAGTTTCTATCAGGTTTTCTACATAATCATGTTATCTGCAAATATAGTTTTACTTCTTCCTTTCCATTCTGAATATCTCTTTTCTTTCTATTGCTCTATTGCACTGACTAGAACCTTCACTGCAATGTCAAATAGAAGTAATGAGAGTAGACATCCTTGCTTTTGTCCTGATCCTGGAGAGAAAGTACTTCGTCCTTCACCATTAAATATGATGTTAGTTGTTTTGTAGAAGTCATTTATCAAGTTGAAGACGTCTCCTTCCATTCCTAGTCTACTGAGGGCTGTTTTTTCTTTAATCAGGAATGGATGTTAGATTCTTTTACTGTTTTCTTGCATCTATTGCAATGATTATGTGATATTTCCCTTCTTTTCTTTTCTTAATTTGTTTATTTATTTTTGGCTGCATTGGGTCTTCATTGCTGCATGCAGGCTTTCTCTAGTTGTGGCGAGCAGGGACTAAACTTCGTTGTAGTATGCAGGCTTCTCATTACCGTGGCTTCTCTTGTTGCAGAGCACAGGCTCTGGGTGAACAGGCTTCACTAGTTGTGGCACATGGGTTCAGTATTTGTGGCTCACAGGCTCTAGAGCGCAGGCTCAGTAGTTGCGGTGCACGGGCTTAGTTGCTCCGTGGCATGTGGGATCTTCCTGGACCAGGGCTGAAACCCATGTCCCCTGCACTGGCAGGTGGATTCTTAACCACTGCCCCGCCAGAGATATCCTGATTTTTCTTTTTTAGTGTACTAATTTGGGTACATTGATTTTCAAATATTAAACCAACCTTCATTCTTCAGATATACCCCACTTGGTCATGATGTGTCATCTTTTTATATATTATTGAATTTGATATGCTAAAATTTTGTTAAGAATTTTTCACTCTGTGTTCATGAGAGATATTGGTCTATAGTTTTCTTGTAATGTCATTGTCTAATCTTGATACGGTGAAAGTTGGCCTTATAAATAAGTTGGGAAGTATTCCCTTCTCTTCAACTTTCTGGTAGAGTTTGTGTAGAATTGGCATTATTTTATTCCTTAAATGTTTGGTAGAATTTATCAGTAAAGCCACCTGGACTTGAAGCTTTCTTTGTTGGAAGGTTTTAAACTGCACATCCAATTTCTTTAATATCTGTATTCTTGAATAAACTTTAGTAGTGCTTGTCTTTCAAGGAATTTGTCCATTTCATCTTGAATTTATTAGTATAAAGTATTCTATATATTCTCTTATTATCGTTTTCATATCTACAGTATTTTTCTGTTTTCCATTTTATTTATTTCTACTTTGATTTTTATTGTGTTCTTTCTTCTCTTACTCTGTGATTAATTTGCTCTCATTTTTCCAGATTAAGGTGGAAGTTGAGGAAGCTGAGTACAGCGTTAGCAATATCCCACATGTTGACATATTATGTTTTCAGTTTCAGTGAGTTCAAAATAGTTTCTGATTTCCGTTTTCATTTCTTCTTTGACCACAAAGTTACTCAGAAGTGTATTGTTTAGTTTCCAAATATTTGGAGCTTTTCCATATTTGTTAATTTCTAATTTATTTCCATTGTGTTCAGAGACATATATTGAATGACTAAAATCCTTTCAAAAAAATTTTTAAGTATTTTTTTAAATTTATTTTTTTGCTGCGTTGGGTCTTTGTTGCTTCGCCTGGGCTTTCTCTGGTTGCGGCAAGCAGGGGCTACTCTTCGTTGTGGTGCACCGGCTTCTCATTGGATGACTTCTCTTGTTGCAGAGCACAGACTCTAGGTGCGTGGGCTTCAGTAGTTGTGGCACACAGGCTTTAGAGTGCAGGCTCAGTAGTTGTAGCGTATGGGCTTAGTTGCTCCGTGGCATGTGGGATCTTCCCGGACCAGGGATCGAACCCTTGTCTCCTGCATTGGCAGGCAGATTCTTAACCACTGAACCACCAGGGAAGTCCCTATTCCAGTATTCTTAATCTTTTGTGTAGATCCATATTCCAATTTGGTGTCATTTTCCTTCTGCTTAAAAACGCTTCTTTTAACATTTCTTATAGTGCACGTCCACTAGTAATGAATTCTTTCAGCTTTTGTATGTCTGAGATAGTCTTTATTTTGCTTTTGTTTTGACAGATCTGGGTATAGAATTCTAGCTTGATAGAATTCAATTCACTACTTTAAAGATGTTATTTCGCTGAGTTCTCATTTACATTCTTTCCAACAGAAATTCTGCTGTCATTGTTTTCTTTGTTCCTCTGCATGTATTGTGTAGTTTTTTACCCTGGCGGCTTTTAAATTTTTCTTTATTGCTGGTTTTGAGCAATTTGATTATTTTTGTGCCTTTGTGTAGTTTTGTCCAATTTTTCTTTTGTTTAAATTTCATTGAGCTTCTTGAGTTTGTGGGTTTATAGTGTTTATCAATTTGGAAAAATTATGGCTATTATTTCTTCAAATTTTTGTATTTCTCCTCTCCTTCATGGACTCTAAGTTCACATGTATTAGGCCACTTGATGTTGTTGCACAACTAACTGATGCTTTATTCATTTTTGTTGTTGTTTTGTTTTGTTACTCCTTTTGTTTCATTTTGGATAGTTTCTATTACTATGCCTTAATGCTCACTGACTGTTTCTTCTGCGGTGTTTAATCTCCCATTAACCTTGTTCAATATCTTTTTCATTTACATGTGGTTTTTCATCTCTAGAAGCTCAATTTGGGTCTGTTTCACATTTTCCATGCCTGTACTTAATATTTTCAATGTATAGTCTGGGATTTTTAACATATGAAATACAGTTATAATAACTTTTCCTCATGTATAATAACTTTTTAAATGTTATTTAATGTCAATTTTAACATCTGTATAGATTATGGGTTAGTTTTGATTGATTGCCTTTCTCCTCAGTATGGATCATAGTTACCGACTTCTTTGCATGCTTGCCAATTTTACATATGATCCCCGATATTGTGAGTTTTAGTTTCTTGTGTGCTATATATATTTATATTCCTGTAAAATGCTTGAGCTTTGTTTTGGGTGAAATTAAGTTACTCAAAACAATTTTATTCTTTTAGGTCTAGCTTTTTAGATTCGTTGGGTAGGAGTCCAAGTAGCCTTTAGTCTGGAGCTCATTATTTGCAACTACTGAGACAAGTCCTTTCTGAGTATCATGAGGTTTTCCAGTCTGACTTATAGGAACAGGTACTATTCCTACAACCCTGTGTGATATCCAGTTATTATTAATCCTTTCATGTGGTTCTTTTCCTGGCATCAAGTAATTCCTCACACAAATGTACTGACCAATACTTTGTTGAATTCTCAAGAGATCCCTCTGCATATCTCCAGAGTTCTTTGTCTGTGCACTTCTTTTGTCTCTGATACTCTGCTTTGTGAACTCTAGTTACCTTGGTTTTCCCAGACTGTCAGCTCCATTTCCTCAGTCAGGGAGTCCACTAGTCTCTGCCTGGACTTCTCTTCCCTGTACCATGACCTGGAAACTCAGAAGTAAGTTAGGGCAATTATAGGGATCACTTCATTTATTTCCCATCTCCTGGGGATCATTGAACTTTATTGCCTGAGATCCAGTTTCTTGAAAACTGTTGTTTCATATGTTCTGTCTGATGTTTTCATTGTTTCAGTTGGGAGGTTAAATTGGTCCTTGTAACTTAATCTTGGCCAGAAGCCAATAACATTCTTTAAGTCTGTTTTGTTTTGATACAGGGAGCGATTAAAGATTAGGCATTGCATGTTACATCTTTGTTTCCTTTAATCTAGAATATTTCCCTACTATTGTTTTTTTTTGGTCTTTTATGACATTGACGTTTCTGAAGAGTCTAAGCCAGTTGTGTAAATTGCCCCACAGTCTGGATTTTTCTGTTTCCTCATTAGATTCAAATAAATATTTTGGGGAAGAATACTATATAGGTGATGTATTCTTCATACTTCATCACTTCAGGTGGCCCAGTGCTAAGTATGATCATTTGGTTAAGGTGGTATCTTCCATATCTCTCCATTGTAAAGTTATTTTTCCCCTTGGTAATTGATAAATCATATGTGGGTTGATACTTTGGGATCAGTGAAGATCCTACTTTCAAACAACTCTTCACCCAACTGTGCATCAATGATAATCCCTGTCTGAATCAATTATTACATTGATAGATGCAAAATGACACTTTCCTAAATCTATCATTCCTTTTGCATTTATTAGCTGACATTATTCTATAAAGAAGAGCTCCCCCACTTTTCATTTTGAGTATCATTATGAACTCATGTGCTTTTTTTTTCAATTAACTATGTTATACCTTATTATAATGATAAAGTTATTCTTTCGAATGTTCCTTTTGTCCAGATTTGGCCAAGGCGATCTCTGTTATTGTTTAACCACACGATGCTTTTTTATTACTAGAATAATTTCTAATATATTACTACTCACAAATAGGACAGGAGAAAGGGACTCCAGAAGGTGCGGTCTTATTCAGACTCTTCTTAGAAGTCTGCCTTCTTCCTGTGTACTCTCAACCCAAAGTGAGGCTTTCGGGTTGGAAGGAGATAATTCTGAATTAAACTACAGATCAGTGTCACCCAATTCTAATCCCTATTCCCTTTTTTCTAGGCATACCATGCCTACTGCCAACCTCATCCTTCTGTTGGGAACCTCTTTCCTCCTCTATATTTATTTACAACAGTCAAGAGCAGCAATTGGCCAACCTGCCCCTATCCAGTTCTGCAGCCCATATGCCCCAAGAACTCCTTTTTGCACTGGTCTGTGGTGGCCTTGGCCTACCTCTTCTACCTACTCAAGTAACTCTTTTACCACGAATTTAATTACCTGTGTTTCCATTTATAGGATCTTACCTAGCCTTATGGCCTGCTGCCTCTGCCAATTTAAAAATATTATTGAGGTTGTTTGTAAGACAGTCAAGCTGTGTTGTGACAGTGAATGCCTGTCAGACGTCACACGTTGTGGTGAGTCTCCATTGCGCGATAATAAATTTTTAATTTAATATTTTAATTTTTAATCAATGATGATAAATTTTAAAATTCATGATGTAATTGCATTATTTTAATTCATACATTCAGAGTTCCAGCTCCCTAAGTTTCTAAGAACTAGCCCCTTGCTAAAAATCAGATTCTTGGTTACATTATTAAGCTAATAATAGCTCAGTTACATTGCTAGCTTAATAATGTAACTGATCTGCATACATAAAGGAACAAGAGAAAGGAATGGATGGGGGAAGGGAATTAACATTACTGGCCTCATATCCTATGCTGTGCCCTCTGCAAATGAGAACTTATTGATATAGTGCCTCACAGTTTGTAAACGGATTTTATATAAATTAGGTCTCAAGTACCCTTTGTTTTATAGGACAAGTGTAAATATATTTTTGTTTATTTTGTTTGTTTCTGCAATTTTATAAAGAGTACAAGTGATGCTGTTTTATGTCCTATTTGGAGCCTGAGAGTTTCTGGTTCCATAACCAGAAGCTGCTACCTAACCCTTCTAATGGAATGGAGAGCTAGTTTATTCTTAGACTGTCCAGCTCTGAACTTGCTCTGAATGTCAAGCTTTTCTATCCACAAAACACTCAGGGGCTTTCAACTATTTTTCTATATATTAGATTTATCGGCACTAACTTTTTAAAAAGTGCAGGCGCGCATTTCCTGGAGCAGTCCGCTTGCGCCCTGAGCTGCGCACACGGGGTGACTGTAGAATGCTGCACTTGGTACCTTTTGTGGTTCCAATAGCGGGTGACAAAACCTTGCTGGTGTGGGAGCTGAGCTCTGGACCCACGGCCGAGGCCTTGCAAGTGAGACGAGCCGGAGCGGAGGGCTGGGTGGAGGAAGCCGCCCCACGCCCCAGTAACTGGGCGGCCCGGGGTACTGCTTCAGCACCTCATTTGCCTGTGGTCTCCGCTGAGAGGATTCTTAGTTCTAGAGCCGACCTGAGCAGTCAGCTCGCCCCCATAGATTTTTGAGAGTTAGTCCCCAACGAAAGGCATTGCCTCCTAATGCTTCTCGAAGCTTAGGATTTCAGAGGGAACTTGTTCATGAAATGAGAAGTGTTTGGAGTTGCAGCCTCACCACCGTTACCTGTGGCGAAGGGCTGGGGGAATATAAGGGAATGGGCGGTTTGGTTTCCTGGGCCTGAAATTTACTGCACTTACTTAGCATGGGATCACCCTACAGCATTCTCTCTTCACAGTCTTCTCCTGGTTTGGCCTTCTGTATTCGGTCCGAGTCTTCCCAAACACAGCAGTGGCCGGTCCAGGGTTCTATGCCATCATCAACTTTTATTCAGCAATGGATGCCCACAGAGCCCAAAAGGCATATGACCAGAAGCAGCTTTTTCACACATCTCCAGTGAAGGTGGGTCCAAATGTGGAATTCTTCGCTCTACTGGGATGAAGTGCTGAATTTCAAACTAATAGGCCATCGGGAATTCCCTGGCGGTCCAGTGGTTAGGACTCTGCTGAGGGCCCGGGTTCAATCCCTGGTCTGGGAACTAAGATCCTAGGGGGAAAAAGAAGAAAAAAAAAAAGGCCAGCATTTGTACAGCACTGTGGTGTACAGAATGCTCTCAGGTGCACTGCTCCACTGATCCCCCAATTCCCCAGTTGTTTCTTTCTTTTTATTAGATGAAGGAACTCGAACGCAGGATGGTCAAGTGAGTTACTTAAGGTTCATGACAGTAAATGTGGAAACTAGAGGCCAAACCCAAACTTAACTGATGTTAAACCCCATGTCATTTTATGCTGCCCCTTAATTTAAGAAATCTTCACAAGAGTCTTCCTTATATTGACTTTTATGTGGATTTTAAATGTGTGAGATTGACAGTTTTTTTCTAAATTAATTAATTAATTAATTAATTAATTTTTGGCTCTGTTGGGTCTTGTTGCTGCGCGCCGGCTTTCTCTATTTGCGGCAAGCAGGGGTTGCTCTTCGTTGCCGTGCGTGGGCTTCTCATCGCGACGGCTTCCCTTGTTGTGGAGCACGGGTTCTAGGCACGCGGGTTTCAGTAGTTGTGGCTCACAGGCTCTAGAGCACAGGCTCAGTAGTTGTGACACACGGGCTTAGTTGCTCTGCGGCATGTGGGATCTTCCTGGACCAGGGATCAAACCCGTATCCCCTGCACTGGCAGGCGGACTCTTGACCACTGTGCCACCAGGGAAGTCCCGAGCTTGACAAACTTTTGTCAAATGTAAGATAAAGGAGGCTTTATCATCATCATCACTCTCAAACTGCCTAATCAGAACTCCCTTCAGATTCCAGAAAATGGTTAAATATTCTTTAATGCATTGTAGAAACCTTATTCCATATGAACATGCCATCCAATTTTACTTTCCTAGAATTAACATTTCATTATGTGCCTCCATTCAGCCACCATTCCTTTTTCAAGGACCTTTTCAATTCCTCTGAATAAGTGAGTGAGGCTTAGATTTACCAGACCTTTCCCTTTATAATTGTGTGTCTTCTCGGATTGGCTTATTGCTTTGGCTACTTCCTGCTGACCTTGTTGCGTCTTCTCACCCATATTTCTTTACTCACTGATTTCACCTTTATTGAATCTGAGAACTCTCCTCAGATGGGACTCCAGGTACACTACCTCCCACTTCTGTACCCTGTTTAACACCCTCTTCAATCCTCCTGTACTCCCTGGGATTGAAATGATTTTGTGTCAGACATTCTTTAATTTGCGGACCCTGCGACCATTTCACATAACCACTCAGATATTACAGATGGTCCTGGAAAGATTATGAAACAGTTACTTGGTATCAGTTGTGAGTAATGAGTTCTTTTCTTATATTTGACATTAAGACCATACCATAAGCGTAGGTTGTGAGATTTTCACAGCATAAAGCCTGTCACTGATAGAGTAATGAAGAAAATGTTCTCCAAGTCACTATAGAGTTGAGAGGAAAGGGCATTCGTATTAGATTTCTTTATTTAATGCAGAGCTTTAGTTTACTACCCACAACACCGAAATATTTCCCTACTTTACTTATGATGTTCTTTTTCAATTTTATTTATTTATTTGCTTGCACCGGGTTTCAGTTGCAGCAGGTGGGCTCCTTAGTTGCGGCCCAAGGGCTCCCCAGTTGTGGCATGTGGGCTCCCCACTTGCAGTAGGCAGGCTCCTGTTTCTGTGGCTTGCAGGCTCCTGAAATGTGGCGTGCAAACTCTTCGTTGCAGCATACATGTGAGACCTAGTTCAGTTACCAGGAATCGAACCCAGGCCCCCTGCATTGGGAGCACGGAGTCTTAACCACTGCAGCAGCACGGAAGTTCCAATTATGTGTTCTTTTATTCATTGGCAGGTATACATACTTCTTATCTTACTTCCCCTGTGCTTTTTATAAATACAGAAAAGAGAATAACATCTTAAAATAAAATGAAGGAAAGGCCTAATGCATCTGAGTTTTTCTCAGTAGCACGAAGGGAAAGGATTGCCAGCAAGAACTGTGGCAAGGTTATCCCAGATGTCAGCTGTCTCTACTACCTAGGGGCTCAGAGCCTTTCTGAAGATACCTAATTGTCCAGGACAGCTCCATTTGACTCACCGTACAGGGCCTAGCATCCCATGCGACACTCAACATTTAAAAATTAATCTTCATTTCTCCTTCCCAGCAGGCAGCTTCAGTTGGAGAAAGTAATTTCATTTTCTTATATACTCATTCATTCACTCAGTCAACAGACCATCACTCCTCTATTGTATGCCATGATCTATGCTTATTTCTGGCAACAAGGGAAGAATAATATATGGTTCCTTCAAGCACTTAAGGAGCTCATAAACTAGTGACAGAGGAAGATGCACAAACAAATCAATAAAGAATTAACAATGCTTTGACTTTATTTGTATTATTTGAATTTTTATGACTATATTTATATACTATACCCTGTTCAAAATGGAAATGGACATCTAAGAAAGAACTAGTGATATAAAAACTCTGCAGTAATATGTAAGTTCTTTAGAGAGTTAAGACTGGAAATATTTGCACTCTCAAAGAAGCCTGTTAATGCAGATGAACCTCTAATTCTTTTGGTTCCTTTATTTACATTCACAGAGGTATATGTATTCCCTCTTCTAACAGGGGTTAGTAACGTGGGGAGGGGGTGCTACAGATTAAGCTCCTAATTCAGTGGCAGGTCCATCTTATCTCCTCTTCAGGTCATATTCTCAAGCAGGAGCTACAGGATGAGACGAGTAAAACAGTTCACTTCCTTTCCTTACCCCCAGCCCCATAATAGGCTTCTGCTGGGCTTCCTTGGTTCTTTCATCATTACTTTCACCACCAGAGGTCAGGGAACCTTCTGGTTAATCAGGGGTCCTGGAAATGATGCAGAAAAGTACTGACCTAAAAATAATAAATAACATTTATTTAGGGATCATTGTGAACTCATTGCTTAAAATTTCCTTACTTAATCTTCACAACCACTCTATAAAATTGGTATTGATAAATCTCAGGTATATCCAAAATGAGTCTCTATGTAGGGTTGTGATATTTTTAGGTCTTTTATGTCTTTAGGTTCATCTCTGCACCAGATCTAAGGCGGTTCAAAATAATACACTTGCCCTAAAGAGCTCCAGATGCCAAGAATTGGCAAATTACTACTTTGGGTGGGTGGTCAAAAAGGATCATCAAGGTAAACTCTTTAGATTTTCTTTGACTAACCAGACTCCTTTCAACACTGAACTCCTAGACTTTAGAGAGAAGAATAGAACAGGGCTATGGGGAGGAGATGTGAGAGACTTCCACATGGAAGTATCTGAGCATTGGCCTGCCACGTAGAATTAGTGATAATCTCAATGACTTGGATGGTGGTGTCCATAATTTTCTCCAGTATTTGTATGGTATATCATAAAAAAAATAGTTGTCCATATCTAGTCATTCATTTGCAAGTCTCACTTGATTTTGAAGGGATAGCATACCTAAACTATTACCTGGGATTGCTGGAGTTTAGTATTTATTTCTAACAACAGAATATGTTGAAGTCTAGTCTTTACTTCAAAATCCTAACAGCTTCAGGATCTTTCTAACCTTGAAGAAAGGGAAAATGAAGATACTGTGCCACCACTTCAGAAGCAAAGCCTGAAGTTCTTTTGTGCTTTAGAGGTGGTGTTTCCCTTCCATGAGTGCAGGAGTCCTGGAGTTGTCATGGCTGTGGAACCTTTGGATAAGTTGGAGGAAGGTCTGTTTTCCAGTATGTGAGTGTGTGGGGAGGTGAGCGAGTGGGATTTCTCTTTTTTCCTTTCTTTCTGAAACTCAACTTTTCAGATACATCATCACCTTTTCTAAGCAACTAAAGCCCTGGGCAGAATTTTTCTGCCCGACAATATAGGTTTTTATCTTAGGTGATACCTGACAGCACCTTAACCTTTAGAATTTTAGAAATGACTACATGCCAAGAAGCTTAGGAGGAGGGAAAATTAGGAATTTTTTTTGGTTTATAATTATTTTTGTGCTAAAACAGTCCTTCAAATACACATGTCTTCTGGCCTTCAGTTATCCCAACAAAATCATTGTCTAAAGATTGAAATAAACTCTTGTGTAAATGTTCAGTCCTTTGCCTCCTACAAAAGGGCCTGAGCAGAATATGTAAATGTAGATCCCTAGAAAGGGGATTCCGATTGGTACTGAGTTTTTTCCTAGAATTCAAGGCACTTGGCCTTAGGATTTTAAGTCAGAGGCAGGGCTGTTAGCGAATGGGGTGGAGGAGGCTCCACCATTCGCCTGAGCGGGTGATGGTTGAGCAGAGGCCCGATCATCTGCACTACAACCAAATGTATCTCACTGTATGAATCCAGCCCTTTACGCACACGAGAGCAGGGTCTGTAGCAGTGTAGCCTCAGCTTGTCCATTTGAAATCTGTGAGTAATATGAGATTTGTGCCACGTTTTTGGTTTGCATTTCCCGTCTAGTGTATTATGAACATCCAGAATAGATCTGAGCAGTAAAAATGTGCCATTCCAGGGTATACCTACAACAGAGACATCCACCTGTACCCCAGTGTTGTGCCTGCCCTTAATCACTAAGGTTATGATGTAAGAATCACAGATGCATTTTTAGTTTTAAACATATAACCTAGAAATCAGTTATTCATATGGGCATTTTAAATTCATCTGTTTTGGTTGGATTTAGGGTCATTATTCCTTATAGGAAGGAAGGTAACCCAGAAGCTTGCTATTCAGAAGGTATGACAGATGCATTCCCGAAATAGCTGATTGTGGTTTTAGGTAAGACCTTTTTGATTGTCGTTGAAGTGCTTCAGTTTCAGTGAGCAAATAAACTTATTTGAAAAGTTAATTGGATGAAAATAATGGTTATCTACAACATTACATATTCTTTCATTCACCAGATGCTTTCACA